TAACGACTGGTCACTTTCCGACCTCTCTCTTGTTCAGCGCTTCGTTGAGTCGTGATCGAAGACCTTGGACTTCCAAGGAACTCTCTTCTCCTGCTTTCGACCCAGTTCTTTGAGCCCCAGATCCAGGCATGCCGAGCTTCGGTTCCGCTCTTCTTCACCGGTTCTTTCTATGTTTTTTTTCCACTTATGCCGGACATGTTGGGTGCTTTTGGAGCATCACAGAGGGAACTCCCCGTTTTGGGTCCATGCGACACTTCCCATCCGTGCGGTAGGATGTGACCTCGGTCATTGAGGAGTCAATGGAGGATGGCGTGCCTTGAGATGAAGACACCGATGTGCCAGTTTCAGAGTATATATATATATATATCTATGACTCTGGCATGTCGTGCTAGCTGTTTCACATGGTTCATTTGGGTTTGGTCTCATGGGTTTGGTCTCGTGCAAACTGCATCCGCATTAGCTCGCATCTGACACAGCCGACCTCGATGTGCCTGTCTCGTTGGCACGATCGCTCAGCCGCTCCGCTCAGGTTCGCTTGGTGAGCAGTGATTTGGTGGCCGTGCTGGCAAAGGGTCGTGATCAGAGGCGGGCGGGCGCAAAGCAGCCATGTTCCAATCTCACATTCCCAATGAAAAAGGACGGAAGAACAGGGGAACCAATGAACCAAACATGTTTGACCTGAAATGCTTGTTTGGGTGATTTAATTAAGAGAGCCCCCAAAGCCAACATTGGCTGATGTGAACCTCCCTCGTATGAACGACTGATTGAGGTATATGACTGACGTACACACCGTTTTGTGTCTATATACGGGTATTAGACACATATGTGTGTTTTGTTTTTTTGCATATTCCTTTTGCTCGTTAAGATCCACATTGTTTTCTTGAGGTCCTATTTGCTGGCCTCCTTTCACGGAGACACCGCTGGCAGAATGACTCTGCCCCTGCTGCGCGCTTTGGTCTCGGCTGCGGCCCAGCGCTACCCGAGGCGCGGTTCGTTTGGGCGTTTTTGAGCACGGTGTGGCGTTGTCCTGGTGAGTTTTGATTGAGATGCAGTCGCAGGTGGTTTGTTTGTTCTTTTCAGTTCCGTTTTGATCCTGAACTGCAGAGGCAGGGGGGGCTCTCTTGAGGCAGGTAGGCTGATTCCCGATGACAGTTTTGGAGACTTGGTGAAGAGAGCTGCTGGAAACAACAGGCACATCTTGATTGTGGGCATGGATGCCAACAGCTATGACCCTGCGAAGGATGAACAGCTGCCTTTTACCAGGCTTATTGAAGCTTGGAGGAGAACCAGGGAGCCTTTCTTTTTTTTTTCTGAAATTTATGAAGATAGATACGTCAAGAGCCGGTTGTTGAGGGGCACTCAACAGGTCTGCACGCACTTTAGAATCTTGGCCTCTAAGACTCTAGACTCTAGACCTCCAAAACTGCATATAGAGTCGAATCTACTTCTGATGGAGGGAGCTCCTTGACAGATTCACCCAGATGACCATGTCGTTTGAACACAGTCCTAAGGCAGAGGCTGGACCAGCGGGACTCAGGGTGGCAGATGGATCTTTGTTGGATGACTGATGGCGCTTACTTCGAAGTGCTTTCAGCCAATAGAGCGAGGTGAGAAGAGTTCAATACAAGGCTGATGCTGAAGTTGAAGAATTATCCATGGAACCATTCAAGTTTTGGAGCTAAAGGCTATGGGCGGCTTCTTGATGAAAAGATAAGAAAGGGCTTTGTCGTCGTTGGGTGTTGTAAGAGACCGTCGGCTCCCAATTCATGGGGCTACCTCTGTGGCTTCCCCAGCTGCTTTGGAGCATCAAGCTGGTTGAAGAGGGCTGATGACCATCGAAAATCGCATTCCTCCGCGTTTGGCGATGGAAAACACTTTCCGGGCAAAAAACCCCACCTCAAAAGCCTGCCCGGGCTGTCCTCGCCTTGGCCGGCGTACTCAGCGCGGAGGGTCCGCTCTTTGAGACCCGATGTTCCGACGGAGAGTGGCAGGTGAAGACACTGGGCCTCACCACGTGCTGGGGGGAGGACACTTGGCTGAACGGGGCTGAAAAGGACACTCGCTGCATCGGTGCAAGGGCACGTGGAAGCAGACCCTCTACACGCCAACCCGATTCCGCAGCATGTTGTGGAGATGTCCGGTGAAGCTGGGTGTTTTTGACCAACCACGCAACACATCGATGCCTTCCATCACAGGAATCCATTTTCCTGATTTTGGGCAACCGGATGACCGCCCTTCCAGGATCCGGACCGGATGAGCTGCAGAACCACCTGTTGTGCGCGCACCTCCTTGCAGCCTCAGCTGAATAAGGCCCGCATCCGTCCGCGTTTTCCGTCGCTGGAGAGACACTACTGGCTAGTGGGCTCCAGCATCAAGGCTCCAACAGAACATCCGGCAGCGGCGCCAGCACTGAGCCTCCAAAGCGCACACGACGGCACCTTTTTCCTATACTTGAAGTAAGAACCCCAAAAGCTCTCGGGCGTTGGGCGGGAACAAACTCACCACTGAGTTTGGAAGATTACAACGTTTGGGCCTTTTGGCACCGGTGTTTGCCAGTAGTTTCCCTGGCACTTGGCAACAGTTCGGGTTCTTTGCATGACCACGCACGCATATGAGGTTTAGGGAGTGGAGCAGGGTTGTTCTTGAACTCTTAGCTGACCTGGCCATCAGGCGATCAGCTACAAGGACTGTGTCTCACAGAGCCCCTTGGCAGACCTTCAAGGGCGGGAAGTCTCAAGCGAAAAACCTTTGAGCTGAAGCAATTGAACCATCGTTTGGGGTTACAACCATGGTTTCCTGTAGATGTTCCCTTTAACCAATCCATTGAAGATCACAAACTCAAAAACCTCCTGCTGAAGCATTGATGGAGGAAACTTGGATTTGTCATCATGAAGATGTGTCAGAGACGATGGGAAGTTGAAGGGACTTGGAGGTGCCCAAAAAACATCAACCAAGCATCAAATCAAGCGTCGACGCGCCTCAATGCACGCTCCAAGGTGATCGAAATCCAAAGGATTTGAAGCTGAGCAAAACTGGAAGGATGTGACCTGTGGGTGGGAAGGATGCGACTCTAGAACTCTCATCTCTCTCTCTCTCTCTCTGTCTCTCTCTCTCTCTCTCTTTCACTTACACAAAACGCTGAGAATAGGGTCGCACCATGTACGTGTGAATAGGGAGGCCCCTTTAACTGGTGGGGTTTGGTCGATAAATGTTTCTCTTTCGAAGGGTCTTGGGTGGTCTCCCTGTTTCCATACACACCCATAAGGGGTCAACTATTTGTCATGGATTGTGCACATTGCGTCTGAGGATCACTTTCAATCGGCAACAGCTGCGGTTGCTCAGCCCACAAGAGGTGCCCTGGTTGAGTGATGGTGTTTGGGCCGGCTGGCAGACACGGTCTTTTAGAAAGACTTGTGATTGATGACAACCCAGGCAACACTTGTGGGGCACATGATTGAGTAGACTCGACATGCCCCGGTAAGCAAGCTTCAAGAGCTCAACAGCTGTCTACGAAGTCTAAAGGCCAAGTTTCACCAGAGTTTATGTGTTTCCTTAATGTGCACTCACCCAATTCTGAGAGGCTTGAGGTGACAGGTGACGACTTTCAGTGCAGCTTCTCAACTGAATCTCGAACACGCTTCCTGATCCCGCGCCCCGTTCTTGGGGCATTTGGCTGGTGGAAAATCACTCATCAAAGACCTCATGATTGAGGAAAAAACATGAACCTTTTAAGAAACAAAGACCTCAAAAGGACTTGCTCATACCAAATCCAATTCAAGAAGGCTAATCTCTTCCAGCTTCGCCTGTCCGGAAACCCAGCTCCGACTGGCTCCGACTGGCTCCGGTGATGGTTCGGAGGTCGGTCAGCCGAACCCGTTGAAAGACAACACGGGGCAGCTGCACTACGAGGAGTCCATGAACTTCCCAACCTTCGTCGCTGGGCGCAGAAGAACGAACGGGACTTGTGCGACAAGACCGGACCGGGACGACGGTCGGAGGGAAGACCATGAAACATGGGGGTTTTGGGGGCGAACACAGACACTCGACTCGGTGATCTCGTTGATTGGACCGAATATGATTTCATCATTTCATCTACTGTACTTGGTTTTTCATTTTTTTTCTTTTTGAGGTGTCCTCCTTGCCTTGATATTGATGTGTGTGTGAGTTTGTCTTTTTTGAGGGATGCTACATCAGGTTTAAGGCTTTCAGCACAGCAACTCCCCCTAATCTCAGGACTTCCCCTCAGACCATGCCATCGTCGCCGCCTTGCTCCAGCAAGTGGCGTAGCTTCTTCATTGCCAAGGACCTTATCAGGTTCCGTTGCACGTGTATGCGTAGGCTGTATCTGTATCAGGATTTGGTTGAAACACATCAATCAGCTTGAGTGTTTGAGTTGAAAGGCTCCAGCCTTGACCTGCTCCGCGTGGATAGACAGAAGACTTTCTTGCCTTGAGGAGTGTTGGTGTTCGACCAGTTGCTATGTGAGCTCCTTTTTTTGGGCAGATGCTCCGGCAAGGGCACAAAGAGATGGTAGAGGATTTGTAAACATTGATTGAACTAGACCCTCCTAGACCTTGATGAGTTCATGTATCAAAAAGAACGTCAAAACCCAAAAGACCCCCAGAAAGCAGGTGACTTCCCCACACAGTTCGTGGTTTTCTGCCCGACCGGTCCAAAGCGATCGGGGCTCAGCACCGGGGGTCCAAAGGTTGGCCCCTCCGGACCGTGGCGCACCGAGAAAGGCACCGACTTGGCCGGGCAAGAGGTTCAGAACGACGTCGACCCTCCAGGTCGATAGAGGTGAAGACGTGGTTTTGCTGCTGAAAGTCTTCCAAAGTTTAGATGCTTCCAGAAATGGTCGTGGAATGTCGTGGAACCCTATTTAAAAACAACCCGAAGAACTTGCTCCAGACAGGCGGAGATCGCATGGTGGTTGAGGAAAACACATCGGGCTCCATCGGTCTGTCCCGTTGAAGCGATCGGTCTGTCTGGTGCGCCAGGCTCAGCTCGAGCCAGGTGCGGCGCGTCGATCGGGGAGCTTGATTGAGAAGATCAGCGACTTGAGGAAGATGGAAGGTCCCAACATGTCCCAACACAACTAGAATCATAAGTTGTATCAAATTGTTGGAATTACTCTTTTTTGTTGACAAGATGTTACAAGACAAAGCCAGACCTTCACAGCCTTTCCTGGCTCATCAAGGTTCTGAAAAGAGTCAGACTGCTTGAGGTCATGATTGGAAGGGAAGACACTTGGTGTTTGCCTTGCCTCGCTTGGACATACCAATACCATCCATGGAAGCCATGCTGCTGCAATGCACTTGTTTGCGCATCACCAGACCATGCTGCCTGTCCGCGTAGCTCTGACTTGGTTTACAAGCTGACAGCAAGCATCACTGCATGAGGATTCTTGACATGATCAGAACGCACACCGTCACCAAGCTCTCTCAAGCACTTTCAGCTCCGACGCGAGCTTGACGTTCACGCTAGGGTCCCCACCCGTGTCCCAAATCAGGACTGGTTTCCCAAGCCTTGGGGCACGAACGAACACCTCCTTCACCTCATCTCTATGCCGACACAGATCGACCTGGATGGTCCCCCCCGAACGGTCTAGTCGCCTAGACTCGAACACTGGGCGGAGCAACGAGTTGGGGGAAGAACTGGTCTAGGCTCCCGGATTGGCTGCGCGGTGCCCGTGACGGCGGCGAGCTCATGATCTTCACGTGCCCTTCGCTGTGATGCAAGAAGCGTCAGACCTGTGGGATTTCCTGTGGGGAGGCTCAGTTGGAGTGGTTGACATCAGCTCTTGGCGTTTCCACTTGTGAATGGGCAGTGCTTGCTGCCCAGGTCTCAAGATGTTTGACTCAAGAGTTGACCTGCAAGCTTCTTTCACGTCAATCCACTCGCACTTGACTGATTTGATACAACTTCCCGATCTCCAAAGCCCCTCAACCCGAAACCTTCCCGTTTGACGTAGCTCCGGAACCTGCCCCACCTCCCTTCACCTGCGGATCCGAGCCCAGGCGCCGAGGCTGCTGGGCGCTCCTGGCAGCCTTGGGACGGGTCTCGCTGACCTCGCTCCTCGGAGCGCTGCTGGGCGCTGTGCTGGGCGCCGGCCTGAGCTGGGACCCCCAACACCGACCCCGTCCGTTCGACACGGTCTGAGGGGCGGTTTTGGCCCCGGGGGGGGCGAGGGAAGGACGCTGTTCCAGCGGGTTGGGCTGGGGGGGCTGGGGGGTTGGGCGAAGGGCGCGAAATGTTGGTTGGGCTGAAAGGCGAGGGGCGAAAGGCGAGGGGTGAGTGACTTGTGCCAAAAACAGGATGAAGTTGGTCCAAAGCAGTTTTCTCTTGAAAGCGAAACATACCAACCAAGCTGCAAAAAGAGCAGCTCGGCCAAATTCATGATCTGGCTCAACCCTACAGACACTACACTCATCCTGGAGAAGACCCCAGGAACCTCAAAAATCATCCAAGAAACCTCCAAAACCACCTCAAACCACTTGATGTCTGAGAGACACTTGGTGTTTTCTACACCCGGGCCGCCCGGCCGGCGCCCTCTGCGGCGCGCTTGGGCGCCCAGGGTTGCTGGGCGCTCCGGTGACCTTTGGCGGGTCGCTGCTCGTCACACCGCTCCTCGGGGCTCTTCTGGGCGCCAGCGTCGGGGCCTTCCGCTGTCTCAGGCGGGGGGTGTTCGTTAGACCATGGGCGGTAGGGAAGACTTACAATGGAGGGAACAACACCCGCAATTGGCTGAGCCGTAGACCAGATCTCCACATTCTGGTTCGCTGGACGTATCACTGATGCATGTTCGGTGGCTCTGGTTCGCCCAAGGCGCTCGCTTCGCTCGCAAGGTACTATGCAGGGGTCCTTGAGGCACTGATGCTCTACCATCCCAGGAAGAGTCGTGTGTGGAACCCCGGCCTTGGGTTTTGATCCACCAAACCCGACTTGTCGCCACAGCTGGGCATTTGAGTCTTGTCCTCCTCCACAGCGCGTGCTTTTGGGCTTGGCTGTCCCAAAGCTTGGGAATGGCAGCTGGATGGACAATGAGAATCCCTTCTATACCAAGTCCATCCGAAACTGATGATGTCTTCTTTCTCACCCTTTTGGTCAGCATCTATTCGAGTCTTCCTTTTAGCTGCCACGCAAGCAATGTTTTACTCCCATCCTTGTGACCATGACTCGAATCAAGTCTGGCTTGCGTGTGACGTCAACCAATCTCATGAGGACGTGTCCTTCATGGATATGTCTTGGCAGCTGGGCGATGTAGAGCGGCTTGACAAGACTTAGACTTGAGGTTTGGATGTTTGGAGAATTCATCATCTCCAATTCTCCAAGAAACATGGAAGTGGGCAGCCTTTTGGAGATCGTTTTTCTACACAGATAGGTTTCCAACTTCCACGATTGTTGGAGAGAGTGCAGGTGTTGACCAACCTGCCGCTGCAACCCTCCTACTTGGGGACCAGCTTCATGTGAATTTGGGTCGATAGTTGGTACTCATCAAGTAGTAGTCAAGTGATGTTGCTGCCAAGTTACTGCAGTTGGTCGCCTTCCCTTAGCTTGGAAGCAGCCAAAGACTGAACGAACATCTCGGACCAGGTATTCCATCCAGATGGTGTCATACACCCTTCCCAACGTGGGGCCGCAAGTGTCATACTTGCTCAGACCTTCAGGCAGGACGGCCAGGGCGAAGGGTGGAACGGGTCGGGTGAGTTGCATGGATGTCCTTTGCCCACCCCTGATGCCACTTGTTTCGGGGACTTTGATTCAACCGTTTTATCTTTCTCCAGTTCTGTGTGTGCAGTGCAGTCTACTTTGCTGTTATTGACGACACTTGGTGTGTGTGTGTGTGCCCCTTGTCGTCACAGGGATTCTTTTGAATTGTGAAGGAATGACACTCACAAATCTTGAAGTGTACCACGATGTTGCAGTGTAAAGGAATGACACGCACAAATCTTGGTGTGTTTCACGATGTTGCTGTGCACTTGTAGTCGCAGGGATTCTTTTGAATTGTTTTCTGCTACTATGAGCAGGGGACAGGGATTCTTTGGATTGTTTTTCTTTATATAAGCAGGGGGCCACCGGGGCCCCAGAGGAGCGGTGGCCAACGAAGACCTCCTCTGGGGTCCGTGTAAACGTACCTGCCAAACTGGTTACCTGTTGTTCTCGCTGTGGTTTGCTTTCATGGTGGTTCATGTGGTTCTGTTACTAATCGCTACTCGCGTTTCGTGTTTTGAGTCTTGCTGGCCTCCAACCTTGCAGTAAGGGCCTCCACTTACTGACACCTGTCCTGGTTCCTTAGGTCACTCAGGCCGGCGTGTGGCACCGCTGTCGAGTCAGTATGCATCTCCATAAGTGTGTTTGGCCTTGTGCCAGCCCGGGATGAGCCCGTAGAGTGCCTCCCGTGGACCCTTCGAACGGGTGTCTGTCCATGTTTCCCGGCTTGGGAACGTAGGTGTCCGGAGCGGACAGCAGGAGGCTTATGCCAAAGTTATTTGATGTTATTTGCCAAGACTTGTCGGATTATTGAATTCCAAGATGGCTCATGCCTTTACGTGACCGCAGCGGTCAAGCAGCCAGCCACTTTGGCAGGGCACAAGGTGACCACAGCGGTCAAAGTACTTCTGAGGTTCGTTGGAACCTGTCGAGAGCTTAGTCCCCCCTCCTCCCCCTTCCCTCCCCCTTTCTTTCTTTGCTTTCTGGGGTTTTCCTGAATGGAGTACTCAGGATCACCCCTCTCTTTCTTTGGTGTGTCCCTGGACGACTGTTCGTAGCTGGGAACACCTGCCTTTTTCCTTTTCTTTCCTCTCCCTTTCTCTCCCTCTCTCTTTCTTTCTTTCCTTCCTTTCTTTCTTTCCTCTCTTCACCTTCCTTCTTCCTTGGGTGTCCCTGGATGCTTTCGTCATAGCTGGGAACCCTTCTCCTCTCTTCTTTTGGTGTGTCCTTGGACGCTTGTGTCGTAGCTGGGAACACCTTCCTTTCCTCTCTTTCCTTTTTCTCTTCTCTTCTCTCCCTACCCCTCCCTCCTGTCAGGACCTTAGAGTGGGATGCTACTAGGGGCTCCTGGCCTTCATACTAGGTGCTCGGACGCTACTTTGACGCTACTAGGGGTTCCTTACTACTACTCTGCCCCTTGTAGTCACAGGGATTCTTTTGAATTGTGAAGGAATGACACTCACAAATCTTGAAGTGTACCACGATGTTGCAGTGTAAAGGAATGACACGCACAAATCTTGGTGTGTTTCACGATGTTGCTGTGCACTTGTAGTCGCAGGGATTCTTTTGAATTGTTTTCTGCTATTATGAGCAGGGGACAGGGATTCTTTGGATTGTTTTCTTTGTATAAGCAGGGGGCCACCGGGGCCCCAGAGGAGCGGTGGCCAACGAAGACCTCCTCTGGGGTCCGTGTAAACGTACCTGCCAAACTGGTTACCTGTTGTTCTCGCTGTGGTTTGCTTTCATGGTGGTTCATGTGGTTCTGTTACTAATCGCTACTCGCGTTTCGTGTTTTGAGTCTTGCTGGCCTCCAACCTTGCAGTAAGGGCCTCCACTTACTAACACCTGTCCTGGTTCCTTAGGTTTTTCACTCAGGCCGGCGTGTGGCACCGCTGTCGAGTCAGCGCGCATATCCATAAGTGTGTGTGTAACCCTTGGAGTCACAGGGATCCTTTCGGATTGGTTTTTCTTGAGCTTTGAAACAGCAGGGGGTGCAAGCAGCCTATCCAGTCTTGCACCAACGGGGACACTGGATATGCGCTGGAGATATCGATTTGGGACGCCAAATCGACGTACCTGCTTGATGATTACTTCAATTTACGGGCCCCTGCTTGTAACTAGAACAAGACCCTTCTCCTGGCTTCGGTCCTGCAGTAAAGTGCTACTGAACCTTTGCTCACCCCGGTTTCTTAGGTTTTTCACTTAGGCCGGCGTGTGGCAAGCCGCACCGAATCCTTACGCATTTCTATAAGTTTGTCTGACCTTCGTGTCAGCCCAGGGTGACCCCGACGAGTGGCCCCTGT